CGTGTGTTCCTTAGGAATTCCATATACATACACACACACACACACATATATATGGACAAACATATATACACATATATATAATTTAAAATATAGACTGGGCACCGTGGCTCAAGCCTGTAATCCCAGCACTTTTGGAAGCAGAGGTGGGCAGATTACCTGAGGTTGGGAGTTCAAGGCCAGCCTGACCAACATTGAGAAACCCCATTTCTACTAAAAAAAAAATATATATATATATATATATATATATATAATGTTAGCCTGACATGGTGGTGCATGCCTGTAATCCCAGCTACTCAGGAAGCTGAGGCAGTAAAATCGCTTGAACCTGGGGGGCAGAGGCTGTTGTGAGCTGAGATCTTGCTGTTACACTCAAGCCTGGGCAAAAAGAGCGAAAGTCTGTCTCAGGGGAAAAAAATATTTAAAATATGTAAGGAATTGAACACATATATATGATAGATAGATAGATATGGAATTCCTAAAGAATGTCCACTCACATACACACAAACAAAACCATTAGCGTTAATGCATGAATTCAGCAAGGTTGCAGGGTGATATGATTTGGCTCTGTGTCCCCACCCAAATCTGGAATTATAATCCTCATGTGTTGTGGGAGGGACATGATGGGAGGTGGCTGGATTATGGCTGTTTCCCCCATGCTATTCTTTTGATAGTGAGTGAGTTATCATGAGATCTGATGGTTTAAAGTGTTTGGCAGTTTCACACATCCTCTCTCTCCTGTGGCCTTGTGAAGAAGGTGCTTGCTCCTCCTCCACTTTATGCCATGATTTTAAGTTTCTTGAGGCCTCCCCAGCCATGCAAAACTGTGAGTTAATTAGTATTCTCTTTATAAATTACTCTGTTTCAGGTAGTTTTTTATAGCAGTGTGATAAAGGAGTAATACATGGGGTATGAAATCAATATACAAAAATCAGCTGTATTTCTATATACTAGCAATGAACAAGAAATGAAATTAAGAAAACAATGCAATTTATCTCAGCATCAGAAAGGAAAAAATGCCTACGAACAAATTTAACAGAAGTATAAGACTCATATACTAATAACTACAAAACATTGTTGAAAGATTTAAAGATCTAAAAAATTGAAAAGACATCCTGTGTTCACGGATTGTGAGAACTTGTTAAGACACCAGGCTGATCTACAAATTCAATGTAGTCTCTATGAAAACTACAAGTGCTTCTTTAAGAAACTGAATCCTACAATTCATATAAAAAGGCAAGGGATTCAGAATAGTCAAACACTCTTGAAAAGAAAAACAAAGTTAGAGCACTCACAATTCCCATTTTCAAAACTTAACACAAAGCTACATTAATCAAGACAGCATGGTTTGACATATAGATCAAATGAATAGAATTGAGAGTCCAGAAATAAACCCATACATTTGTGGTCAATTGATTTTTAACAAGGATGCCAAGACAATTTAAAGAATTGTCAAAGAATAGTCTTTTTTAACAAATGGTGTTTGGACAACTAGATATCAAAATGAAAAGAATGAGTTTAGGCCCCTACAGTATGCCATATTAAAATCAACTCAAACTTACATGTAAGAGCTAAAACTATAAAATTCTTAGAAGGAAAAACACAGTTGCAAAGTTTGTTACCTTTGATTTGGCAATGGTTTCTTAGATATGACATTAAAATGCAAGCAAGCAAAGGAAAAAAGGAATAAATTAGACTTCATCAAAAATTTTAAAAATGGTGTGTCAAAGGATGACACTACCAAGAACATAAAAAGACAACTCATCAAATGGGAGACAATATTAAGCAAATGATATTTATTTCCCCCTACCAAGTGGGCACAATGTCAGAAGACAAAAATCCCACAAGGCCTGTGGTGTCTACATGAGGGAAAATGAACTAGAGGCAGTCATCAGCTTCCCTGGCACTTGAATGCTTCCCAGGAAGACCACTCTGGTCTTACCTCACTGGAGGTAATAGCATGGCTAGACCTCCAAGGGTCAGGTAAAAACAAAGAAAGGAAACAGAGGTCACAGTGGCAGTGTGTAGCTATTCGTCATAACTCTGTGTTTCTCCTAGCTTTGTTGCCCAGTTGAAGATACCAGCCAACTTCACAGCCCACTCAGAAAGCTGAACTGGTCACTTTCAGAAGCATGGTGGAAAGTTCAACTTGGCCTGAGTCCCTAGATGGCAACTCTGCACCCAGCCAATCTATTTGGCCTGAGAGTCCAAAGAGTGACTCAGTTTAGCCAAAAAGCCATGTCAAGCCTAGGCAGGGAGATGAGCACAGTGGCTTATCCCTCTAATTCCAGTACTTTGGGATGCCAAGGTGGGTGAATCACAAGGTCAAGAGATTGAGACCATCCTGGCCATTGCATCAGGAAAATGCAATTAAAACTACAACGAGCCATCATCTCACACCCGTCAGAATGGCTGTTATCAAAAAGAGAAGCTGTTGGTGGGAATGTAAATTCGCACAGCCTTTATGGAAAACTGTATGATGTTCCTTTAAAAATTACAAATAAAACTAGCGTTTGATCCTGCAATTCCGCTTATGGATATTTACCCAAAAGATTTGAAATCAGTTGATTGAAGAGACATCTGCACTCTCACTGCCATTGCAACACTATTCACAATAGCCAAGATATGGAATCAACGAAGTGTTCATCAATGGATGAATGGGTGAAGAAAATGTGGTGGACATACACAATGAAATACTATATTCAGCCAGGAGAAAGAATAAAATTCTGTCATTCGCAGCAACGTGGCAGGACCCGGAGGATATATGCTAAGTGAAATAAGCCAGGCACAGAAAGACAAATACTGCATGATCTCCCTTACATGTGGAATCTAAAAAAGTTAAACTCGAAGAAGCAGAGAGTGGAATGGTGGTTACCAGGGTCTGGGGGTAGAGGTAGGGTAATGGAAAGACATTGGTTAGAGGATTCAAAATTCCAAGCAGACAGGAAGAATGCATTCAGCAAGGTAATTGTACCTTGTAACAGTGTACTGTATACTCCATAACTGCTAAGAATTTAAAATTTTCTCACCACAGAAAATAAGCATGGGAAGTAATGAACATGTCCATTAGCTTGATTCAGTCAATCCATAATGGATACATATCTCTAAACATCAACTGAAAAATAAATGCATAATTAGTAAAATAAAAATAAATCCACACACGCACACCACATGTCACCTAGCAGTTCTACCTAATCTATTATATAATGCGCATCATCTAATATGTTAAACAATGTGCAGCATCTAATATGTCATATAATGTGCTTCTTTATCTTACTGTGGTTTTCCCACTAAAATTTAAGCTTAACAAAGGTAGGGATTTTTATGTTTTTTTCCATGTTGTGTCTCTAGCAACTCTCGCAGTTGGACACTAAATAAATATTGAATGAATAAGTGAATGGAGAGAGGGAAGGAAGGGAGGAACGAGGGAGGAAAAGAAGGGAGGGAAGAAGGGAGAAAGAAAGGAGGAAGAAGGAAGGAAAATACAGAAAGCAGGGAGAGAGGAAAGAGATGAGAATGTTATGTGCTCCTGAGTGACTATGGGAAATCTCGTTTGGGTACCAAGTTAGATTTTTAAATCACGTGGTGCACTAGCACATAGCAAATATTCAAAGACCGCGTGCTGCTTTAATGAGCAAGCTTCCCTAACTCATGTCTTTGGCTTCCTTTGGTTACCACAACCTCCTCTTTTTCTCCCAACCAGAGAAGATCTGTAATGGAATTCTTGGGCTTTCAGGGGGCCACGGGACAAATTCTGCAGCAGGAGAATCACTTCCTACCTCTTCTTCCTCCTGGCAGAAAGTGGAGCAAGTCCTCTGAGACTTCCATGCCCCCTGCTCAGATGTACCTTCTCAGAGCTAAAAACACTGCAGGGGTTGAGTGCGGTGGCTCACACCTGTAATCCCAGCACTTTGGGATGGATCACCTGAGGTCAGGAGTTCGAGACCAGCCTGGCCAAACTGGTGAAACCCCGTCTCCACTAAATTTACAAAAACTAGTTGGGCGTGGTGGCAGGTGCCTATAATCCCAGTTACTTGGGAGGTTGAGGCAGAGAGACCAGTAAATTTAAAAAAAAAATGGCTTTGGTTCTTGGAATGTAGAAAAGCTGCTCAAATCACTCAAGTGGCTGCTCTGTGAAAATAAACTTCCATTGGTTCCAGTTTTATTTCACCTTGCCTGTAAGTGCAAGGACTGTTTACAGAGGCACGCCCAGTGGTCTAGGCCCATTGTAGGACCAAAATGTTGACACTGAACATTTTGTTTTCTATGCTTGCTTTAGCTGGGGACTCACAAGTTCAAACAGCCACAGGAACCAGTGCTGTGGTGGAGTAGGCTGCGCTGGGGACTGTGGTAAACTAGACGGGTCATGCTGACACCCAGTTCCACTGAGGGTGGCCATGGATGTAGGGTTGCAGAGTCGTCACATCTCTACCTCTCTCTGTCTCTCTTTCTTCTTCTCTCTCATTCTCTCTTTCTCTCTCATTCTTTCTGTCTCATTCTCTCTCTGAGTCTTTCTTTCTCATTCTTTCATTCTCTCTCTCACTCTCTCTCATATCTGTCTCATTCTCACTTGTTCTCTTTCTCATTCTCTCATTCCATTTCTCTCTCATTCTTTCATTCTCTCTTGTTCTCTCAGTCTGTCTCACCCTCATTTTCTTTCTCACTCTCTCTCTTATTCTCTTTCTCTCATTCTCTCTTTCATTCTCCCTTTCTCATTCTCTCTCATTCTTTCGTTTTCTCTCTTTCTCATTCTCTTTCTCTTCTTTCTCTCTCTTATTCTCACTCTTTCCCTCTCAATCTCTCTGTCTCTGTCTCATTCTCTTTCTGTCTTATTCTCACTCTTTCCCTCTCATTCTTTCTCCCTGTCTCATTCTCTCTTCCTCTCTCTCATCCTCTCTCATTTTTCTCCCCAAGATAAGCTGAATGTCTGAATTTTCTATGAATTGCCATTTTTAAATGCTACAAAATGACCCAATTTGCTTAGATTCTGTATTGTTCATTTATTAAATGCATACAGAACAGAGTTGTGCAAACGTCACCAGAATCTAATTTTGAGAACATTTACATCATCCCAGTAAGAAACAGTGCTCCCCTTAGTGGTCATCCCTCATTCTACTCCCATCCCCCCCAGCCTAGACAATTACTACTCTACAAAATAGATTTGCCTATTCTGGACATTTTATATAAATGAAATAATACCATACATGGTCTTTTGTGACTGGCTTCTTTCACTTAGTGTACTGTTTTGGGGGTTATCTTTGGTTTGGCCTATATCAGAGCTTTGTATCTTTTTGTTGGTGGTAGTAAATAATATTCTATTGTATGGCTACATGACATTCTGTCTGTTTATGCATTGGCCATCAAACAAGGCATGTCACAGTCTGGACCCAGCCCTGGGGGACCAATTTTTCACCACGCAACAGCCTCCTGGCTGGTGTCCCCATCTCCTGTTTAATGCTCCTGCCCTCTGTTGACAGAGGGTGTGGTTACAACCAGCCAGAGATCCCAGGGTAGAAACGTCGGGACAGTTTTTCTAAACCAAGGCTCTGCGTGTGTCACTCTCCTCCCTCCCCAGATTCATGCTGAAGTTGCTCTCCTCTCTTGGCTTCAGGGTGAATACCCAGATCCTTCAACCAGCACACACACTTTTGCAAGACCTGGTCCCACCACCCTCCACGCCCTGCCCTGGTAAACCCTGTGCTGTAACCCACCAGGGCACCCTCTCCTCTCGAAGCCTGGGCATGTACAGTCCTCTGTCCCCTTGCTCATGCTGTCCCTCTGGTGTACAATTCACGCATCGCGGGCCATTCTCTTCCACTGGGTGGGAAGCTGTTCTGGAAGGGGAGGTGTTCCTTCTCCATTGCTGTCTCTGTCCTCAGGACCTGGGACATAGCAGGTATGTAATGAATGCCTGATGGTGGAATAGGTGCAGGCTGCTCCTCCAACTAAAATGCCCTTTCCATGACTTCACAAGATTTCAGTTCCTCGGGGACAAGTTTTTCCCCCTATTGTTAAAAATTTAGTCCACGCAATAATTTATCGAGGCTTAATTTGCATGCACTGAGGTGCAACCATTTAAGTGTGTATTTTGATGTGTTTCAAGAAATGTTCACCCATGGATTATACTCATGTGGCCACAGCTGCCATCAAAATATAGAACAGCCCCATCACCCCAGAAAGCTCCTCTGCGCCCCTTCCAGGTCAATGCCCTCACACCCCATCTGAGGCAACCACTGATCCCTCCTGACGCCAGAGCTGGGTGTTGGTGGCTGTGGGGTTCCATCGGGACGGACTGAGTTAGAGCACGGTCTTGCGTGTCTGTTTTCATTTGCACGGCGCAGCATCTGTGCGATTCAGCCACGCAGTCGGGTCTGTATTGAATTCATTCTTTTTGCCCCATTCCCAGCACAGTGCCTGTCTGTCAAATTGAACAGACTTCAATTGCTGTGAGACGATTCATAGCAAATTGTGTGTTTTTCATGAATAAAGGAAAAAGTTGCAGCGTGCTCCGGGAGGTGGAAAAGAGAAAGAAACCCACCCTGACCCTTCACTTGTGTTCTCACCTGACCAAGTCTGGAAGAAAAGGCGTGAGGGGTTTTTTTCAGGAGACAGAGGGGCTGCCAGGGTCCAAATCAGAGGTAGAATGGTACATCCAACTCAAACTGAAACAAACAATCCAAGCCTAAGGCTTAAATCAGAAATTAATCTCTGCTGGTGAAGCAGGAAAAGGCCGGGAAACAAACCTCTCCAACACCAAACTGGGAAGGAAAGGGGTGATTTATTCGACCGGGAGCAAGGCAGCATAGCTGGCTAACAGCCAAGCTCGTCTAACAAAGGAAATCTCTGCCTTTATAAAGCCTTACAACTCTAGATATTACGCGTGACAGGGCCTTGGGTTTACAGCTTTAGAAATTACAGGTGAGCCGGGCGCGGTGGCTCACGCCTATAATCCCAGCACTTTGGGAGGCCGAGGCGGGTGGATCACGAGGTCAAGAGATTGAGACCATCCTGGTCAAC